TGGCTGGGTAACATACCTATAATTTACATCTCCTGACCGGTCCCAAGTCTGATAAATACTCTCCCTTTGATAAGCCCATCTGGGTTGCAGATGTTTGCTGCTGGATCCCTCAGGCTCTCGAGAATTCTCCTCTGCGCCTTTGGGAGAGGACCTCCTTTGGGCTAGACTTCTTGCAGGGCTAGGAAAGGGGGGATGTTGAGTAGGAGCTGAGAAACGAGGCAGACTATTCGGACACCAGTTGTTGCACCTGCATGGCAGTGATCTATGTATAGGTGCAACCCCCACTTCCAAACTCCCCGCCCCACTGTGAGCTCCTGAACAGAAGGACCCTGCGCCTGGCATGCTCGGCTTGCTCAGTATATATCGGGCAAAACATTTGTTGAAGTTGGATTCCCTGCAGAGTCACAGTATAATGGAATTGTGAGTCCTGTGATTTCAGTGTCATGTCAGGGATGCTGCGCATGGTCAGTTTTGTCAGAGACAACCAAAAACTCCACCGAGTCATAGGCCCTCACGGAGTTCCAGCAATCTATGCCTCCGTGACTCCAGAGCCCTTTCAAATGACCCACGCTGTGGTGCAGAAAAGCAGTCTCCACTCCATGCTCGGCTTTTACTGCCTCAGCCTGGATTTAGACCCGGGGAATCTAGTTAAAATCACTAAACCCCTCCACGAAGTTGTTAGCACCTACTCTGTATATATTCTTTTAATCTGTCCTTCTGCTAGCTTACTGTTTCTGGCGCATCACAGGAATAATTGTTTTTCAAAATATGGTTCTTGCCAATAAGAGTTATGAAAAACACTCAATGTTTTTAATAATAAAATTCAACACAAGGACAACAAGGCAGAGATGGGAGAGGGAGAAATTCGCTAATGGAATAAATGTGAGAGTTAGGAATGAGAAAAGTACTCTCCACTCTGTGCTGGCCTCGAAGTTCTTCCTCCAAACGAGGAAATTCACGGCTAACCATCCTTCGTAGTTCATCTTAGGTGTGAACGTCAAGGTGTGCTCGTCCTCAGCAAGCACCGGACCCCCGAGGAAACCCTCCGACACAGAGACAGACGGGGATAAAGTGGGGACAGAAACAGTGCCTGCAGATCAATCAGATGTGGTGCAGCTAAAAAGTTTCAGCATAGATCTCATTTCTAGCATCGAAAAAGGTTGCATCCTTAAAACAAAAACAGATTAATACAGAGAGTTCAAAGAATAGGAAGGTCTTAAAAATATGATTGCTGAAATAAAAACAACTCAATAGAAGAGTTGGAGGATAAACTCAAGGAACTCTCCAAAAGAAAGAGAAAAAATAGGACAAAATAACAAAGAGATAGACCATATGAGAGAAAAAAAAAGACAGAGAATAAATTCAGGAGATCCATCCTCAAGAGATTCGGGGTAGAAAAGAGAACAGAAAAAAAGACTTTAAAAAATCAAAATAATAATGTAATAGAACTTGCCAGAGGTGAGGGAAATGAGTGTTGGAACCAAGTGCTCAACAAAATAAGAACAAAAGTCCAGCCATTAAAAAATATATAATATCCCCAAAATAAGAAGGCTCAGGATAGATTCTAAATAATTTGGGGGGAAAAATATTTCACCTCTAAAATGACACACAATTGCCCAGATAGAAGCTAGAGGCAATTAATAAATGTATTCAAAAGTTTGAGAGATGTTCTACAACCTACAATTTTACAAAGACAAACTATCGGCGCTGTGTAAAGTCAAAATAAAAACATTTTGCAAAACGCATTTCCAGAAAAAGTTACTCAAAACACCCTTTCTTACAAAGTTACCTAAGGATGTTTTCCAGTAAAATAAGGTAGTAAATTAAGAGACACTCATGCAGTTCAGAACACGGTGGCTCCAATCCAAAATGAATAAATAATTAATAATAATATCAGCAAAGAGAAGTTCCGGATGACAACGGTGCTGCCGACCTAAAGATAACGGGTCAAGATCAAACGTGGAGCAGAAAATAGAATGAACTAGAGGGAGATTTGCAGAGTGTTAAACAAAAAAAGGTATTCTATTTCTATAGATTAGCTGTTATGATAAAACACATAAAACCAATTGAGGATCTCAAAAAAGAGTAAAGGGAAGGAGTAAAGGGAGAGGGAGGGAGGGAGGGAGGGAGGGAGGGAGGGAGGGAGGGAGGAAGGGAATAGAGAGTCAAGGGGTAGATGGAGGGTAGGATAAAGCTATGTCAGAAAAACATATATAATAATAGAATAATACTTTATTCTGCAACAAAAATATTTCATAGTCATGATATTGCAAATATAAATATAACTGTCTCAACTAAAAATAGCAGAATAACTATGTTGAAATGGAGGGGAGAAGGACAAAAAAATGGAAGCGTTAAGATCTCATCGTTGCCCTGGCCGGTTTGGCTCAGCGGTTAGAGCGTCGGCCTGCGGTCCTGAGAGACCCGGGTTCGGTTCCCGCTAAGGGCACGTACCTCGGTTGCGGTTTGGCCCCGGCCCTGGTTGGTTGTGCGGGTGGCAGCCACTCAATGTGTCCCTTTCACATCGGTGTTTCTCTCTCTCTCTGTTCCTCTCTCTCCCTCCCACTCTACCTGAACAAAAAAAAATGGAAAAATGTCCTCGGGTGAGGAAAAAAAAAAAAAAAGATCTCATCGTTATCATATGAGCAAATCAATCAAAATATGTAAAACTGATGAATCAATTAATATAATATTTGGAGAAGTGGAAGTAATTACCAGAAGAGACAGGTGAAATAATTCAATATGGGGACAAGGCTAGCGAGTGGAGAAGGATGGGGGAAGAGTTAGGGACTATCTCTCTCTTCACATCTTTCCATACAACTTGACATTTGTAGCCATGAGCCCTTATTACTTTGATTTAAACATGTTTAACTATCAAAGAATATAAATAGATCCTTTTATTCCACAAAGCAAGTTTTGCATGTAGGGATAAGAAGGTTTGCGACACTTTGGGGTCCACAGATAGGGAAGGATGAATTACCATGGCAACTCTGCGGCAGTAAGTGGACGTTACAAACACCCAGACGGGGCGGTGGCAGTAGGGATAGAGAGAACGAAGGGCCACACCGTGGAGGAGGATGTCTGGGTAAGAGCGCCCTCAGTCAGAGCAGCAGGCTCTTGCAATGAACTGGTAGACAAATGAGAACAAGCCAGATTTCCCCATCTCTTTGGAGATCCTAAGAGCTGGCAAACACTGTTATTAGTGAGGTTTAGCTTCTGCTTAAGGTTATCAAAATCTACACATGAAACCCAAACAGAATCTTTTTTATGTGACTATTTCCGGTAACGTGATCAGTGCCCTGTACATTACTCACAAACAAAGGCTCCCCACCTGTCAGCCTTAATCATGACAGTGATAACTAATGTTAGTCTAGAACTATTTTTGTACCTTGGAAACTTTAGTCACCAAGTACTTTCCTGTACCCTGTTCTATCTGGTTACAAAACAACCCTAGGATACAGGTAATGCACAATACTACTGCAGTCACCCCCCTTTTACAAACTTGTACAATTTACACAGCTAATTAACTAATAAGGACTCTTGAATTCAACTGTGTCCCCAATTCTAAATCTTACGTTCAATCCTTGATGCCACGTGCCCGAACTATAGGCCAACCTAGAAACCGGTGTTCACTGACTGCCACACACAGGGACCCCATGAATTACTGGAGAAAATGTGACCAAACGACACAGAGGCAGTCATCTGGGTGCCTGGTGGCCGCTGACATCTGGTCCTCCCACCGCTCAGCAACTCTGCAGCTCAGGTGTGAGCCTTTTTGTAGTTTGTATAAAGGTACCAGTTAAGCAATGGGGAGGCCTTGCCCACATACGCAGATCAACAAGCTTACCACCCACCTCTCTCCTTTCTTGTCTCCCTCTACCGCTCCCCAACCCTTGCAGGGACCGTCCAGTGCAAATCCTCTCATCGGCCGCTGTCTCTCGCAATGCAGGACACCTCAGACCCACTCATTCGTCACAACAGACGTGAGAGAAACACCTAGGCGTCAGGCCCGTGTGGTGACTAAGGGCCCCTGCCTTCATGGAGCCGGGGAAAGGAAACACACGGATGCACAGGAAAAGCATCCGAGGCGGTAAGTTTGATACAGGGAGTCAAAATTAGTTGAGAGACTAGTGACTGATTGGCTGATTTAAATGAGGAGATCAGGAAAGGCCACTCCAGGAGGTGACATTTAAGAGATACTGGAATGACAAGAGAACACCCTCCAGTGGAAGGTCGAGGGAAAGAGGGTGCCAGGGAGATGCAGCAGCTCACGCAGAGCCGAGACCGGAACGGGGCAGAGGAGGCCGGGAGGCTGCACTGCGGGTGGGGGTGCTGGGGGAGGAGGGACAGGAGGCAGGGGCCAGGCAGTGTACACTCTATTCTTGCTACAGCGGGGGCGTTTAAGAAGAGGGGTAACGGGGTCTGATTTACCTTTCACATGATCCTTCTGGATGCCGTGTGGAGAACGGAATTTAATGGGGCACAGTGGGAAGCTTGGGTCCCAAAGGAGACTTGGGGTTCGACGTGGAACGTCTTGTGTTCACAAAGCAGGTGAATGGCTCAGCCTGCACCGGAGACCACGCAGGCTCTGGCCTCTGCGTGGGTGTGGGCAACCTTGCTGGGAACCTGACTACAGAAAGGGCTCGTGTAACAGGTGCCAAACGGCCTATCTGCCTTGTCTGCTCTCCGTGGTCGTCCTCCATAGGCCAAGTTCATGCATCTCAGGCACCGGGTGCATGTCTTCAGGCCCACGTCACAGCACCTACACGCTGTCTGCTCCCGAGGTGGTGAGTTCTGTGGGGCTGGCCCCTGTCCGAGTCATCTCTGGGTCCCTGATTACTTAGCACCTAGTACTTCACAAACGCACAATAACGTCTGGTGGGTGGACACACGCTTCATATAGGGGCTGTGTGAACCATTTTTGTCTCTAGAAGCCCAAAGGATAAAACGATGCTAGGAATGCACCTTACAAAAGGACACCCCGAGCCCCGGTCCCTTACCTCCTGGGTGAGTCAGGGTCGAAGCAGGTCCTGCTCACATCGGTCGCCTCGGGGTCACAGCAGTCCCCGTCGTCGAAGTCGTTCAGCATGTTGTTGCACGCGGGGTGGCAGAGCCCGTCCCTGCGGTTCCAGGAGTAGCACCGGCCCTGCAGGCGGCAGTCGCCCCCGTCGTAGCCCGTGAGTGGGTGCTCACACTCCGGGTCACAGTGGTCGTTGCCGATCTTGCTGGGCTCACAGTTGACGAGCACGGTGCGGTGGCGCAGGGTGGAGTTGTGCAGCCGGTAGACGCTCTGCTGCCAGGTGATGTTGTAGCGGCTGAAGGCCTCGTTGAGCGCCTGGTGCTGCCGGCTGATCTGCTCGTCGCTCACTGTGGGGTTCAGGCCCTCGTCGTCGCAGACGTTCACCACCTGGTAGCGGATCACCTTCTCTCCCCGCAGGGGCCAGTGCCCATTGTAGTAGGAGACCAGCTCCACATTGTCACATGCAGTCTGCCCGCAAAGGGGGGGCTGCAAAGGTGAGAGGATCTCGGGCTCCGAGCCCTGGAGAACCTCGAGCCGGGGGTACTTGTCGTCTCTAAAGGGGGTCCACTGTCCTTCCAGGGGCTCAAAGCTGGCTGTCAGTACCAGGGTGCTCAGCACCTCCGCCCCGCTCGGATGCTGAGAGCCGTGCTGGAGGCGGCTTTGGGGGAGGGCCGTGGACCAGAGCACCAGGGTGCCCAGGTGCCCACGGAAAGAATGCCCGTTCTCCGAGCTGTCCCCCCCCAGAAGCAAAGTACGGCACGATGCCATGAAGGGGCTGTTCAGGGGCCCAGACTGGTCTGGACTACTGGCCACCTGAGTGCCATCCACGTACAGGGCCATGCGCCGTCCATCGTAAGTGGCTGCCACGTGTGTCCACATGCCCGGTTGGTAGCGACTGTGGCCAATCACCACGGTGGCCTTCTTCATGCGGTCTGTGCGCAGGGAGAAGAAGAAGCGGGCGTCTTGCCTTCGCGCGTCCTTCCCTGAGCGGATCCCCAGGGCCCAGCCCTTGTCACTGACCGTGTGGGAGCAGTTATCTAACACTCCTGGGAAAGCAGGGAGAATCGAGGAGAGAAACACCAGATACAGAGCGGGTGGAGAAAGGGAGAAGAACAAGAAGGTAGGTATTTAATGGGGAACAGTAAGTGATAATGACTCCCCACCTGAGATGCCTGGCCAGTGCCCTGTCGAGTCATTCTAGCCACGTGTAACCCGAAAGGAGTCCGGTTTGAGATGCCATCACATTGAACTTGTTTTGGTACTTTAAACAGCCGATTGGAAGTTGTCAAGGGATATCTAATGCAAGTGACAACCGTCCACTGGAACTCTGGCATGGATGTTCTTGCTGACCTGAGCCCCTGCAGACTCTCCCTGATCCTCGTCCCCTTCCTTATCCCCAAAGCCACGAGGACGGTCACAGTTTTTACCAAAGACAGGAATCTCCTACCTCCTCAAAAAGTCACTTTCTCTACTGAATACTGAAATGATGATTCGACTGGAGGAAACGAGGAGTCAGTGAATCAGGGAGCCCATCAGAGAAGACTAACACCCCAGACATCCCCCCAGCCTGCTCTTCCCTCTAGTGTCTAAGGGCAAGGACACCCGTCCACAAAGAACCACTGGTCCCCAGAGCAGGAAACATGGCATCGCCCCATGGTCCTAGCCTGAAAACTCAGCCAAGTCAGTGATAAGAATGATTGTTCTAGCCTGACCGGTGTGGCTCAGTGGTTAAGCATCAACCCATACACCAAGAGGTCGCCAGTTCGATTCCCGGTTGGGGCACATGCCCAGGTTGTGAGCCTGATCCTCAGTGGGGGGCGTGCAAGAGGTGGCCAATCGATGTTCTCTCTCATCGATGTTTCTATCTCTCCCTCTCCCTTCTTTTTTCTATAAAAATCAATAAAGAAAAAATAATAATGATTGTTCTAGAAGCACTGCTTCTAGACCACCTTAGTACAGAGCACAGCTACCTGGACAGAGGACGGTCCTCACCACACGCTACCTTACCTCCTTGCTCAATGTAGGCACAAGGCTATTAAGTCCAACAGAACAAACAAGGGAAGGAACAGCTGTCGAACACGAGCTAAGGAACACCTAGCTCATTACTATGTTGGCAATAGGAGGAATAGGAAGTTCAGATACATGAAGGCAGTTTGGAGGCCTTTTCCATCTTTGACCATGAACCACCATCTCCCCCAGTTACATCTTCTAATACCCAGCTCCAGTCTTATCATCTGGAGGATGTGAATGGAGAATCATTTGAGCCTCTGCTCCCTTGTGACTGAATAAACGCATCTGCAGCTAGGCTGGGACTGCAGTCTGAGCTCAGACAGACGCAGGTTTAGCCCCCACACTGAATCTAAAACCTGGAAGCTCCAAACGCCACCCCTGGCTGGTGGGGAAAGAACCATGCTTGGTCACACCTGAAGGGCTGTCACTCTACTAAACCATACGGGGTCTGCATTTCATCGCCCTGGCCCACTCCTCCTGGAAAACGGAACTCCAGTTGGAATTAGTGATTTCAGTGCATCAAACATTCGCTGAACTGCCAGACACAGACACGTTCTCAACTTGGAAAGAAAGGGTGGCCTTTGCCCTGGAGAAGTCGCAGGGGGACGTGAGACACACAGAAGGTTACTTCAATACACCATCAGAACTCAGATCAAGGGCTGCACAGGTGAGTGAACACAGAGCCAAGTCTCAACCCACGGATCAGAGAGCATGTCCCGACCTACCCTTGAGGAGTGTGTTAAGAGCTGGCCAGGCAAAATCACAGAAGATACTCCACACAGTGGACACAGTGGGAACAAAGTTACCTGGGGCAAAACGGGTCAAGGTAGGTCTTGCCTAGCACAGCAAGGGGCTCGGACTATATCAATTACAAAATACATGGAGGTTTTTGCATTGCTGCCAAATACTTGTGATATCCTGAGAGCACGCAGAGTAACTGTAGCATGAAACATCCCATGGCTATTGGCCTTGCCCTGCACACTGGGTCCAACTGCAATTAAGACACCCCAGGAACTTTCCAAAGCCTGCAGATGGACAGCTCTGGCACGAGAAGTCCATGAGCAACACGAGAGGACCCGCACCCTTGTTCAGTAGATGTTTCTGAAGCAAGACCTGCTGCCAACCTCAGGACTTGGCGCTGGAGAGTTGTATAGTGATTAAATGTTTGTTTGACATCATGGAAAGTTCAGTACAGTGCAGAATATAAAGCTTAATAAATAACTACAATAAAATATGCTGACTGTTGGGAGTCTAAGAAGCTATGAACCTCTTTATTAAAACACAGACATAACGTGGCAGAAACTCTCCCTGAAGTTACTAAATGTCAACTTGCCGGGACTGACCCATCCCATTAATAATTTGATTCCTAGAAGACACCCACCATCCAAATCTGTCCATAAAACTGGGGCTACCTTGATTGCCTTTCAAACTGTCTGGGAAGGTTAGGAAGACCTAAACCCAAAGTATTCCAAGAGATACGTTTAGACAATGCCAGATCAAAGTTTCTGCTAGTTCACCCAGAAACATTCTCTGTAACATTCCTTAGAACCTGCATTTATATGAAATACCTACTTCAGCGGAATCTTCGAAACTGGGACGTATGATGTTCTTTTTATAAATATTTGTCCTTTACTTCTTAGCATGTAATAATACGTCACATTTATATAATGCTTGAGCTCTCCAAAGCAACCTTATATAAACTATCACTGAAGCAGTAAAGCTATCCCTGTGAGCTTAGCAAGGTCATCATCACCAACCTCATTATATAGATGAAGATACTGAGACTCTGAGAAGTCTGGTGTCAGGCTGGGTGCAGAGAGAACCAAGATATTCTGATTCTGAGCCCAGGAAAGTTTTCTATGGTGGGAACAGCATGGTAATTACAAGCAGGACTCAGCCATAAGCTCTAGTCCCCGGTCTACAACTTACCTGCCACATGACCTCAGAAAAATTGTATCGCCTTGCTGACACAGTAAAATGAAATCTGTCCATCTCTGGTCTGCTCTTCAGCATCCTTCGATCATAAGCTGAGATCACAGACCTACCTCATGAGGTTGCTGTGAGAATTAACTAAAAGAACACAGGCCTGCCCTGGCCGATTTGGCTCAGCAGTAGAGCGTCGGCCTGCAGTCCAGGGAGGCCCGGGTTCGGTTCCCGCTAAGGGTACGTACCTCGGTTGCAGTTTGTCCCCAGCCCTGGTTGGGTCGTGCGGGTGGCAACCACTCAATGTGTCCCTTTCACGTCGATGTTTCTCTCTCTTTCTCTCCCCCTCCCCACTCTATCTGAACAAAAAATGGGAAAATGTCCTCAGGTGAAGATTAAAAAAAAATTTTTAAAAAGAAACATGGAAGTAGGGCACAGACTGACATCCCTCAGAAGAGGGGATGGGGGGTGGGGGGGTGGGAAGAGATAAACCACAGAACTTATATGCATGTATGCATGACCAATGGACATGGACAACTAAGCCGGGGATGGGGTGGAGGTGGGGTGGGGTGGGGGGTGCCAATGAGGTAAAAAGGTAAAATATCTGTAACAAAAAAATAAATAAAAATTCATTAAAAAAATAAAATAAAATAAAATAAAATAAAAACACAGGCCAAAGATCTGAGCACAGTGCCTAACTGCTACAATGGGATTAACAAATATTAACTACGATGCTGAGAAGGCATTTGAGAATGAGAAATCAAAGGGAAAATCAAGTTAGACATCTGAAGAAAAAGAAAAAAAAAAGCTAGTCCTGATTTGCAGCATTTGCCAGTTTCTGTGGTGTAAATATTCCCCCAATGGTCAATTTTATGTCATCGGTATGATGTTACCGAACATGGGGTTTGGGAGAGATGTGTACCATTGGCTCTGGTGAGCCACCTGAGCCGGTTCTACCGCTATGCAGACCAATGACGGAAGCAGATGCAGGTGGCCAGGGTCTCCTTCTCCCTCTGAAGACAAAGGAGTGTGCGGCTGCCTTGCTGGTGATGTGAGATGTTATCATTTAAAAGAGGTAAATGCGACTTCAAATAAAGCTACAGTAATCAAGATACCACAGTAGTGGTGAAAAAAATCGACGCACTGAGCAATGTAACAGAATAGAGAGCCCAGAAATAGACCCTCATAAATACAGTCAAGTGATCCTGGACCAGGAGCAAAAGCAATACAACAGAGCAAAGACAGCCTCTTCAACAAACTGCTGGAACAACTGGACATTCACATGAAAAAAAAAAAAAAGGAATGAATCTAGACAAAGATCTGGTATCTGTCATTAACATTAACTCGAATCATTGACCTCAATGTGAAATGAAAAACTACAAAACAGCTAGAAGACCGACACAGGAGAAGACCTAGACGACCTTGAATGTGGTGACTCCTGTTTAAACAAAAATCCACAGAAGAAATTATTTATACGCTGGACTTCATTGAAATTAAAAATTTCTGCTCTGCTAAAGACAATATCAAGAGAACTAGAAGATAAGCCACGGACTGGGAGAAAATAGTTGCAAAAGACACATCTGATAGCAGGCTGTTATCCAAAATATACAAAGAACTCTTACGACTTAAGAAAGCAAGTAACCCAATTTTAAAACAGGCCAAAGACTGTAACAGATAGGTCGCCAGAGAAGGCATACAGATGGCAAATGGGCAAATGAAAAGATGCTCCGCGTCACATGTCCTCAGGGAAAGCAAGTGAGAAGAACAGTGAGACGCCACTACACACCCAGCACAATGGCCAAAAGCCAGGACGCTGACACCACCAAATGCTGGCGAGGATGTGGAGCGACGGGAGCTCTCTTTCACTGTGGGTGTGAGTGCAAAATGGTACTGCCACGTAGGAAGACCGTTTGGCAGTTTCTTTAAAAACTAAACATACTCTTACCATGCGATCCAGCAAGCATGGTCCTTAGTATTTACCCAAAGGAGTTGAAAACTCCATCAACGCAAAAACTCGCAGACACGTGTTGTAGCGGCTTATTCACAATTGCCAATTGTAGGTGGATGGAAAAATTAACTGTGGTACATCCAGACAGCAGAACATTATTCAGTG